CTCTTGGTTCTAGTACCAAACAGTCACGCAATTCTGTTTGGTTTTCATTTTAGAATTAAACAAATTGAAATCAGTTAATCAAAGAGAAACCCCTAGATCGATTTGGTGGGATAAAAGCGGTCGATAATGAAATTGTGGATATCGAGTTGACTACAAATAAAACAAAGAAAACCGCCGATGGAAGCGCCTAAACAAAACAAGAATGTCCCCTTCTCATTGAAAAAGGAGGGGTGTGGCCGGACGATCTGTTCAAATTAGCTTGCTCAGCCGGCACATGCCAGCAAAAAATGTGACTGCTATCGCATATGCGCCGATACAAACGAAGAAATACGATAATTAAACGATTCACAAAATTAAAAGTAAGCAAAAAATTGCAGCATTCCTTTGAGCGCGCTACAGTTTACAAGCAATCGTGCAGGCCCACCCAGCCAAACGCGCGATCTCTCTCGCTAGCAAATGAGTAGGAAGCACGAAAATTCGGAGTTGGCACGTAGCCAAGTCCCTCATTAGCGGCTTTCCAAGGTGTTTTTGCTTCAGCGACACTTCATTTGTTTTCGACAAGGGCTCACGCATCTCGTCATTCCATTAGTAGCCGAAATATGAACCCCACTGGATGTGCTGCTTTAGATGTTCAGCTTGCATTTATAGTCGATGAACCTTAGCACATACATTTGGTAAGCCGCATTTGCAATTCGCCCTAATGCGTGACGAAAATATTGGAGATTCAAACACTTAACCCCTCCTCTCTGCGGTTACCCCATGTCCTCAATTTCTGCATGGCCCATTCATCGCAATCATGCACATTAGTCCTATCAAGGCATCGATCATATGCGCTCATAATGGGACTTTTCCGTGTCCTTCGGTGAATGATTACGCAGCACCACTCCCCCATAACATATTTTTTGAAAATTCCTCCATCAATTTATGGGCAAAGGTACTACGCCTTGACCTCTAGACTGATCGCCATCCTGTAAAGAAAGAACCTTTCCAGCAGAGCTTTTTGCTTCATATAACCCATATGAAAAATTCTAAGAAGAAATAAAAATACACACTCGAATACAGGCAGCGCAACCGTATCCATGAAGTCAAGCTGGATCTTGGGTACAGCGGCACGATCCCGATCCATCATTTCCATTGGACTAGCACCCATCTGCTTTTCAAGATCACCTTGTGAAAAGAACTCGCGGTAGATGTTTTCCTAAAACATTATTACGGAAATATTGAAACTTTTCAAACAGTCCATGAAAAAAGAAAAAGCTTACAGCAATGGCCTTCGAGTTACGGAAGTCTTTTGACTGATCTGAAAGATCGCTCGACGTCATCAACAGACACATAAACAAATAGTGATGATCTCGCGACAAGGGGTCATAACCTTCTGAAAGAGAACAGGCCTAAGGAATAAATAATGTGGGGGTGAAACTCCAGTTCAAGGGGCCACTCATATATCTTATCTACATATCTTATCAAAGTGACTATCTAATCAGAGCGAAGTTGCGGAAAGGCCCTCATATCTTATCAACATTCAGAGCACAGGCTCTGTGTGTGCGATTAGATGGGGATACCACTCGACATAGTGCAAAAAAGCGACTCAGAACCAGAATCTCCCGAGTTAAAACATGCACCGACGAATGCAAATTTGGTATCGAATGGAAATGACCAGTATTATTGCTCGACAATCATTGCACACAATAGTTTATTGACATTCAGTTCTATTCAAAAAATCATGTAGCACTTCAGAATAGGGTATTTCGCTGCATTAGTTTCCACAGCTCGTAGAGGAGGTTTTCTGTGTTAAACTGCCACATCCAAAGAACTCATAGAAGTAGCCGTCCCATAGGTAACCCTTCAGACGTGCGCGAATTTTTTCTTCAAATGGCTCCACATGTTTTCCACCCGTTGTGTGTGCACTCCCGTGGCTGGATCCACAAAGTTTTCGGAGTGGTTCACTGATATAGCCAAAATTCTTCAGGTTATTGTAGCTCTTCCACATGTCCGTACGAATGACTGTCCCGGCAGCACGCACTTCTGTATAATGGCGTCGAGGTTTCCAGAGCTTCCGATTGTCTGTAACTTCAACAAAAACAAGCTTTGTACCGTCCTGAATCCCTCCTACGAGCCACTCCTGACGAACTATCCGGCCCACGTTGTCTACTATGCAGGTCTCATCCACCTGAACTACTGTGTTGGGTCCACCAATCTGTGTGACGTTATTGGTAGTATACATGCGTTTCAAAAGTATGTGCACACCCTCAAAATTCACGTTTGAAAGGGAACCATGAGGTTTCGTGCTATGAAATCCTTCTCAATCGATTTCTCGTAGTCGATAACCTATCAATGGAAGCAAAGCAGATAATATCGCCTCACTTTCGGAAAAAATTTTTGGATGAATTTTTTTCTTTGTTTCAAAAGTATGTGCACACTTGAAGAAGATCAGATTTTGGCGCCGAATTTTCCACCGATTTCAATCCGACTTTGCTGTTTTCATTTCGTCATCATGTCAATTCGCGCCATACTTCTTCCTGAAGATGAGCAAGCTCAGATCAAGGTTCTGCATGATAATGAACGTTCCAATCTAGAAATCGCACGATAACTTGGTCGTTCTCCTTAATGCATTCGAAGATTTATCTGGCACCCTGATAATTATACTCAGCACGCACTCTGCTCCATCCACGATCCTTGACTGCTCAGAACAACAAAAGAGTAGCATCATCTCGAATTCTTCATTGAGAGTCCGAGGCAGATTATTTTTATTCCAGCCTCGAAATAACCACTAAGTCCCTCATCCGCTCAAATGAATACACCACTCGACAGACGCTGAGAAAGGCTACTCACTTCAAGGCCCAGCACAAGTTAGCCACATTGGAGTCTGCTCGTACAGACATGGCAACATAGGATAGGACACCGGGCGAAGACACGGTTTTTCGAGAATTTCCTATTTTCAAAACAAGCAACTTTTTATGGACTTTCTCTCCTCAGGTAATCTTAACTCATGGAAAGAGTTCGATCTTGACGGGCCGGGTGGATTTTGCTACTACTGGAGAGGCTTGGCCGTGAGTCGCTCGTGCTCTCGAGAAGGAATTTCGGAAGAGGCCCGTTGATGGGTCTGCGGGGTTTCGCAGTCAGAGGAAATTCAGAAGTTGCCGTTCCATTATTGCGTATGAACTGTAAAGAATACCAAGCAGTGCTCCAATGCGCCTGTTGACCTTTCTTAGCGAAGCGGAGCGAAAATTGCATTTTTGGCAACAGGACCACGTGTCTTTCGATGCATCGCAATCTACCAAAGAATGGCCTTAACCAAATGGTGCTGAAGCAATAGATTGGCTTGTGTGTCCTCCTTACTGCAACCCTATAGGGAGCCCTTGATCAAGGCGTTAACTTTAGCAACCGGCAGTATAATACCGCGGATGAACTGAAGGCGGCGGTAGAGGCTATTTGGCCGACAGCGACGAAACAGCTATGCCAAACGTGGTTCAGATTATGCCGGACAGGATGTTTGAGCTAATTAGAAACTCTGGAGGCCCCACTGATTTCTAATCTCAGCTATGTTTTTGTCTTTTGTTAAGTGTGCACATACTTTTGAAACAAAGAAAAAAATTTCATCCAAAATTTCTTTCGAAAGTGAGGCGATATTATCTGCTTTGCTTCCATTGATAGGTTATCGACTACGAGAAATCGATTGAGAAGGATTTCATAGCACGAAACCTCATGGTTCCCTTTCAAACGTGAATTTTGAGGGTGTGCACATACTTTTGAAACGCACTGTATTAGTCGACAATGACCAGCGAAAGCACTGAAAATGACACTCTAGAAGATGATCTCCAGTGTGCGCGCCATCTCTTTAACTAGATCAAATCGTACGCAAACAGGTAGCTGGCCAGGAAAATCTTCTTACGATCGCCATGTAAGCTCTCAAAAAAGTATTTTTCATATATCCAGTTTTTGTACGTAATCCCGGGTTGGCGACATTGGCGTTTAGAACACTCGAATGCCTACCTTAGTCATTCCCCTGCCGCTTGTCTTTGCGGGACTTCCACAGTTAGAGCACGGCCTGTCCTTCCAGAGCAATCCTAATTCGGCCAACCAGTCGTCAAATTCCTCCTTTGACTTCGCCTTCAGCTCAGGCCACGTGGTGAACATCGTGAAAGTGCGAAGTGTCAGCAGGGCAGCAGCCATTTCCGCTATAGAATGGTAGGCAAGGGTAACAGTCAAATGAATGTGTGACGTAGCAATCGTAGGACACCGTCTCAGTACGCTGATTACGTTTGATAAGATATGAGTGCCTTCCCCTATGCTGTGATTAGATATGAGGGCCTTTCCGCAACTCCGCTCTGATTAGATAGTCACTTTGATAAGAATGTAGACAAGATATTATGACCCCCCCCCCCAACTGGAGTTTCACCTAATGTGAGTAGCAGCAATTATAAGTAAAACAGACAAATGGGTAAACGAAAGAACATAAAGTAACGAATCAAGAAAAAACTCACGTTCAACCATTGCCTTGATACGTCCGACTTTGCCTAGATGTACTGCGATATCCGTGGCAAGGATCACGTCTCGGATATGACTCAGCACCGTTTGGTACTGCGTTCGCGTCAGCTGATCCAGAATATTACACTCGGACATCTGGAACACGAACATTAGAGTACCAGGCATGCCGGATGAGATTTGCTTCCAACGCACCTTTAGAATCTGCACTGTCTGAGCGTAATGATGCCTTTCCAACACACTACCCTCACTGCTGTACAATTGAGCCAGAGGAGTTTTCTAGAAAAAAAAATCGATCAGCACATCCATGAAGGTGCTCCTTTTAACTCTTTGGTGGATGGGCGCGATTTTGCCGCTGCCTCACCTCATATCCATAGATTTTACGTGATAAAGAAACAAAAACTTAAATTTAGGATTCGGAAGTCTTTAGCCATTTCCATCTGAACTTCTAGAACCTTCAGGGATAATTTTTAAAAATTTAAAGCCACGAGTCAGGATTAGGTGACCATAGAAGGCCTTTCCATCACTAATATTTCCAGGAATGCGCTCAGAGGGGTGATGCCACACTCCTGACTCGAGATTGCGCGCCGTCAAGGCCTCTGGCCTACTACTTACAGCGATGGGTTCGTTACATCATCAGCTGGTCCCGCCCACCGCGGGATGTGGTGCGTGGCTGGCCTAACGTGTGAGATCAGCTAGGTTGATTGCCGTATCAACCGATGGAACGGCTGGCATATCCGGAAAACTCGTTTGGACGTGGCTCTCCCCGAGCAAGCCTCCTTCACTGCTAGAAGGGAAGGGGTTTCGATTTCGGTCTTGTCGACGGTTTCTTTGCGTTTTTTCTTCACTGTCGTTCCACCTCCCATCTCTACACTCAATTTCAGGCGCCATAATGCCCAAACACGAGCCTGACTTTTGCCTTTGATATAGAAACGTTTGGTAAAACCTACGTGGCTCTACTCAAAGCACTTCGAGGCAATTGTGGCGGAGAAAATCGTCTTAATGAAATCAAGTCCGAGCGTTCCTGGTTTTAGAACCCAAAAAGCGCGTTAATGGAAGTGATTTGGCAAGAAGCCCACGTCTTGCGATGAACTTCCAGACGTTTTTCACACATCGTAAAATTTCTGGTAGGCCCGATGCTCAGAACCTCTACAAAAAGCAAGAAGTCGGCCATGTGTTACACCAAATGACAGTGTCTTCTAAAGCTGTTGACAATTTCCGGAGCATACCCTGAAACTGGCCCCAGCTATTCCAATCTTACAACACAATACTATTTCTCAATATTTCCTCGAAAAGAAGTGAAATTACAGCAAAAGGAGGGCTGTCATCGGCGTAAATGTGTTCAAGTACTATAAGAGGGCCCTCATATTCATTTCTCTCCTGTCTTCCGCCCCCTCCAGTCCTTGGTTAACACATCAATGACCCTGGTATAACCCTAACTAGAAGAAAACCTGCCATTTAAACGTGTTGGGCAAGGTCGTAAAACAAGTAAGGTTGCGGAATCACAACCGCACATTTCAAGTGATTGACGGGAAAAACTTTAAGCACGAAAAAATGCCCCCTTAATACTTGTGTGCCTGGCCGACATAACAAGAAAAAGCAAGCTGCGGTCCTTCTTTCTGAATCAGCAAACATGTGACCAATTACGCCTCCCAGAACTCCACCCGCTGTGAACTTCAGCTAATCTCCAATTAAGTTTGGAGAAGTCTCCCACCGATCAACAACACGGGCCATCAAACTCGTCACTTCGATCGTTACCACAACTCACCATACCACCGCCGCACCGCCTTTCCCTTTTCATGTTAAGGCCCTAGGGGAATCACCTTATTGACCAGAGTCATGCTTATAACGACATTGCTGGGACAAAGGTCATTATAAGCAAACAAAATAAAAAAGAAAAGAACAAATGGAAAAGAGTTAAAAAGGATAAAGTAAGATAAAGAAAAAGATAAAAGCAATAAATTATAATAGAAATAAGCATACCGACTGCAACTGAAATGCATTCGTCGTGCCCCGATGATCAATGTCGTGACAAAGACATGCGATCAACAGCGCTAACCGTTCCAATTCATCGAGCCATGCAGCACTGCAGGAGTTCGCAGACTGATCCAACAGAAATGCGCCACCGAGAACGCGTGTGACCAATTATGGTACGGTACCTGGAAAATCGAACTGATGATGTGATAACACTAGCCAAGAAATAGATTGTAATATAAGGATTGTCACTGCCAGGAATTGGATGATAATTCAAAGTTCAAAACTCGAAATACGTGATGGAAGTCAATATGCGAAGATCGGGACATATTTCAAACTTTGAAAGCTACCATCTGATTTTGAACACGTAAACCAGAAACAATTGATACATATCTGGAAGAACGTCTGTAACCAGTGCAAAATTTGCAAGGCATTTTCCAGTATAAGTTTCCTTCCAGTAGAGAAATATAGAGTTGAAAGCTTGATACGTCTGAGTTTCAAGCTTTGCAGAAATATATTTGAAACAAAATAACAGTGCCGAAAACAAGATGGAGGAGCGCTAAGATCTCCAATACATAACGTGATCCATTTTTAAGCGTTATCCTTACTAGCATTTGTTACACTGAAGGAAATAAAAAAGAAATTTATCACACTGAAAATTAGCACGCAGCGAATCACTGTTGCGCCCACGGTAACCCCGTAACCAGTAAAATGAGTGAATCACTGCAGTACACACATTCCAAAAATGGACCATGCATCTGGACTCACACTTAGGAGTTAACGGCTTCTGAGAAAAAGACCACATTATTCAGGAGAGGGGGGTGCATTAAAACCCTACCGGGATGCTCGACGCCGGCAAGTGAAAATTATGCTGAGAATCCGTGCAGCTCATTGCGTT